TTCCATAAATATATCCACAATTTGGTTAATGTCAGCTAAAGGTTCATCATCTTGAACTAGCATTTGGGCAAATGCTACACCCTGATCTGGATTAATTCTCATGACATTTCTTAACAAAAATATATAATCAGGGGTATAAGAAACTTTTTTAGCATATAATACAATTTTCTGAAACTGACCAGTTTCTGCAAAACATTGTATAACTTTGTTAGGGACATTCGCCCTCAAATAAACGCTAAGAGCTAGGGTTGGATCAGCTTGTTTCACCAAGTCACCCAATTCTTCACTACATTCTAATTTATCTTCTTTCAACCACTTTTCAAGAAGTTGTTTGCGACCTTGTACAAGCACTGGACGACATAATTCCAAAGATTCATATTTATTTAATTGCCCTTGATCTAAAAGTATTCCAAAATATTGCAGTAAAGGCGATGTTTGACCTTGTGTTGTTGGTACCTGCTGGAATCGTTGAATAGTTGCAGGAGTTCTGAGTATTCCTTTTGGAGCATTTGCTGCGACTTTGGCTGCTTCTGCATATTGGCCATTTTGGAAAAGCAAGTTAAATTTCCTTACAAACAAATCTTCAGCTCCTGATAAGTTATTCCTTACAGCCATTCGCAATGCAAGTTCAGAATTTTGTAGCACTCCATTTATGTATGGTATTATGTTTTCTTCATCAACAGATACAGATAATACTTGACCTTTCCGATTTACTCCTATTATACCACCAGATGCTTCATGTGGAGCAGTGACAAAAATAGTTTCTCCAGATATGCGATTCATAAATATACATGTAGCAGACTCAATATCATACATATGTATATAGCCATATTTTGTTATTAAATATATAACATCATACTTGGAACTGACTTGCATTGCAACAGGAAAATCATTTCCAGCTTCTGGTGGGAAGAAGACATCTACTGCCTTTTTTGGGAAAGGATGATTACCAGCAGGAGGTTGACCTACTTCAATAATGTGGAGCTTTGCACCTGGTACTGTTCTAACAGCAAAACAGAACAAATTACTTGGTTCTGCATTCCCTTCCATTTTAAATTGGGCAAAAGAAGCAGCATGTCCTTCAATTGGCTGAGAACATTTTCTTTCAACAGAATAAAGCTGCATAGCACCAACCACCCTATTGTGCTGAGCAGAAATACCAATAAGTAAAAGCCATGTTTGCTTTGGATCAGTTCTATAGTTAATTATTTGACAGCCATTTAATGAAGAATGTCGATCAAACATTTTGTTTGGAGTTGATTCTCCTTCCATAGACCAATGATAAACTGCAGTCTCTGTTACTAATGCCAAAGTATTTAAAGATATCCACTTCCAGAAAACTACGTCTTCTGACATTGTGTGGGCTTTCATTTTTGATTTCATTTCTATGTTAAAGATTTGAAGAGTTTTCATTGCTAGTAAATGAAAATAAAACAAGTTATTAAATTTTTTATTAACACTCACAATGTATTTTTTTGTAAGAAAATATTACTTATCAAATTATAATATCCTAATTACAATGCAGTAATATTAATAATAAAGTTATATAATATCAGAATGTATTGAATTATATTTGTTTATTTATATTTCTAATGCATTTTATTCATTACTCATTTGCTAATTCCTACATATTTCTTTATATGTAAAAGAAACATTAACCATTACCTTTTAAAGCAATGACTTTACTCGCAGGATTCATAATTGCAGAATCTGCAGAAATAGGTCTTCTGATAGGATTTGCAGAATCATTCATGTCAATAATAACTACCTGTGCAGTATCACCAACTTTCTCTCGAACACAAATAAATTTATCAGATTCCATAGTAAGTGTATTAAAGCTGACATTGTTAGCATTAATTCCAACAGCTGTAAGCTATAACAATAAAAATAAAATACTAAAATTATCAGACTACTAAACATTTATTTAATATTAACATTTTTTAATATATTTTA